CATTTCATCACAAATGTCTGAGAAGAATATTGTGAATAACATATGGAAATAGGAAGACGACTAAAGAAGTCAGAAAAATTACTGGACAAGGTACCCTCTCATATCATAATATATAACATACAATGTCTGAGATGACCCTACAGGTAGCTGCTGTTTTTTCTCCTGACTTTGGATCTGAAACAAATTTTGTTCTGAGCTTTTCCTTCTCATATTTAGTGTTTCTGTTCCTCTGGGAAGGGGAAAGGGCAAAGAGATTTCTCACTTTATTTTTTCTCCTCCACCATTCAGTAAAAGGGAGTCCAGAGATGGTTCTCTCCAGAACCCTTCAGTGATCTTGCTGGTGAGCTATGCTTGATCCTCCCTCCAGCTTCAGTAGTGTTCCCCACCCCTCCTGGTCTGGGACTCAGATTTGTATCTTCCACATAGTAGCAGGCCAGCTACTTAGTATTAAAGTATATTTGTTTATGACTGCTACCAAAAGCAAATGCAGTGAATACTTGTCTGCTTCAAAGAGAGTTAGCTAGATTGTGTGAGCAAGATCTCAAGAATGGATAGTGAGCTTTAAAGGTGAATAAGGTCTTTTAAGGCCAGCCTTAGCTAAAGAGAGAAGAAATTAGATAAATAAGGTATTACAGTAGCATCCTTGCTATAATCCCTGATAGTGAAGCTTCGCCACATGAGATGGTAAGTCTTACAAGTGGACAGTACCTTGTTGTAACATTCTAGGAAATAGAGGGGGCCCAGAAATGTCAACTATAATTTCAAATTTTATTATAAAACATTTTCCGCTTTATTCATCAGGTTAAGTGCTTCTTCATTTTGAACTTTCAGATTACTTGCCTAAGGCGAATGAGTAATTTACTTTTAAACCAGACCATATATAGCCTGTTGTCTTATCCTGTTGCCTCAGTGAACTATCAAGCATTGTTGGCTACATATCACTATCTGAACTATTCTAAATTGAGACTTTATAGACAAGCTATCACAGCATGACAGTGCCCACTTCCAGGGTCTTATTGAGAAAGATAAGAGAACTGTATTTCAGTCAGCAGCTGATGCAGCAGACACATAATCTAGGTCAATAGCAACAGCCACTGTGATGCGCCATGAGTCATGGCTACACACGTCAGGATTTCCCAGGGAGGTCCAAAATTCTGTAGAGGACTTGCCCTTTGATGAAGCCCACTTTTTCAACGAAAAGATGGATGAGTTCTTTCATATTTTAAAGGACTCCAGGGCCATCCTCCATTCCTTGGGAATGTAGACACCTGCCCCAAAAAGGGCATCAAAGAAAGGCAGCCTTACAGACAGACCAACATCTCAATAGTTTTATCACCAATGATCTTATGACCCTCCTCATAAGAGACAAAGAGTACAGAAGTCTTGTTTCCCTGCATCTCCCACATCTGCTGCACCATCTCAATCCCATCCTCCAGCAAAAAGATATTTTTGACGAGAGTTTGAGAGCTGCAAACTATTAATGATGCCACCATTACCCGATCTACACATACCTTTCGGGGATCATTTTGCTCTCTGTTTGCATAACTGGAGTGCCGTAAGGGACAAGTGCGTATTAGCTATCATCCAGTGTGGCTATGCAATTGAGTTTACTTCTCTTTGTCTTTCAAAACCCCCATCCCTCCCCTCTTCAGGGACCATTCTCACGCAGGAAGTGGAATCCCTTCTGAGCGAGGAGCAATAGAGTGCGTACCTCTTCAACACCAAGGAAAAGATTTTTTACTCTATACTTCCTAGTCCTCACAAAGAAGGGAGGTTGGAGACCTATGCTCGATCTTTTCAGTCACTTTATTCACAAGCTGAAATTTCACGTGGTCACTCTGGTGTCAATAATCCCTCCCTGGAAAAAGACATTTGGTTTACAGCTCTCAATATGGAGGATGCTTACTTTCACATGTTCACTGCCCACGGGTGTTTTCTCAGATTTGTGGTGGGCCCCAGTAACGTCCAGTACAGGGGTGATTGCATTCGGCCTCACCACTGCCCCCAATGTCTTTCTGGTAATAGTAGTGCATTTCAGATGGAACAGCTTCACCATCTTTCCCTATCTTGACAATTGGCTTCTCAGTGCTAGGATACATCAGGAAGCCTATGAGTTGACCTTATTAATTATTCAACTACTTTCTTCACTAGGAGTCAGTGTAAACTTGGTAAAGTCTGTCTGTCCTCACTCCGATGCAGACTATAGATTTCGTAGGGGCCAACCTAGATTCAGTCACGGCAAGAGCTTATCTACCAAGGGACAGGTTTCACACCATGAGTGACCTGATAGATCAGGTTATGTGCAACTCTTGAGCTCCAGACAGTACTTGTCTTTCCTTCCTGGGGCACATGGCTTCTTGCACTTTCATGAGCCCATTCAGCTCACTCCACCTACATTGCCTTCAGGTGTGGTTCCAGACCGTGTATTCACCAACCAAACACAGCATAAATACCATGGTAACAATTCCTTCCAGTGTGTGATGGGGAAGGATTTCCATCAGGGATGTGTGGTGTCCCCTTCCTACTATCCTCGCCAGACTAGATGATCATTGCAGACTCCTCTCTCTCTCAGGCTGGGAGCCCACATAAACAGTAATATGGCACAGAGCACTTGGACATCCCAGGAGGCCAGGATATACATCAACCTTCTGGAACACTGAGTCTGAAACGCTTGCAAGATTTTTCTGCAATTTATCTAGTCGCACCATGTCCTCATAATGTCAGACAGTATGACAACTGCTTTTTACATCAACAAACATGAAGGGGTGAAATCCATTCCCTTGTGTGTAAAAGCAATCGCTATATAGAATGGGTGTAACAGGAATCAAATCATCCTGATGGCAGCTGACCTTCTAGGAACTCCGAATGTGTTGGTGGACGCCGTCAGTAGGCATTTCACCATCGATCATGAGTGGGAATTGGATGATTCGGTAGTTAAGAACATCTTTATTTAATGAGGGACTCCCACCTGGCATCTCTTTGCCTTCCAAACGAACAAGAAATGCAACATATACTGTTCCAGAGGAGCTCTAAGACTACACTTTCAGGGTGATGCTCTCCGTCTCCCCTGGTCAGGCCATCTGAGCTATGCCTTTCCTCCCTTACCACTCCTACCTTGGGTCTTAAAGAAAATTTGTCAAGACAGGGCATGAGTCATCCTCATCGCCTCCAGCTGATCCAGATAATTTTAGTCTCCAAATGTCCTCCGATCAGCATCCAGTCCTTACCCTTCTTCTGGGTCAAGAAATGGGGAAGGATCAAGCATCCCAACCCCAAAGCGCTTCATCTCATGGTTTAGTTTTGGATGGGCATCAGCAGTAGAACATGTCTGCTCTCAAGCTGTATAAGCCATCCTTAATAGCAGAAAAGATTCCACTAGATATGCTGTTCAGCCAAGTGGAAGCATTTCTCCATCTGACCGCAGCAGAAACATGTATCTCCTGAGTCAGCAGATATTTCCCTCATTTTGGACTACCTTTTCTCTCTCAAAACAGGTGGGCTTTCCCTCAGTTTTATACGAGGCAACCTGACAGCAATCTATGCATGCCATCCACCATCAGACATTATTCAATTTTCACTCACTTCTGATTAACGGATGTTTAAAGGGCCTAATCAGAACTTTTCCAGCAGCAAGGAAACATACTTCTCAATGGGACTTAAACCTTCTTCTTTTGGCACTCAGTAAGCCTCCCTTCAAACCGTTTCTCACTTATAAATTAAAGTTGCATTCCTTATGGTCATCACCTCAGCCAGGAGGGAAGGTGAGCTGGGAGCGCTGATGTACCATACATTATATTCCATAAGGAGAAAGTCTCTTTATGGCTGCATCTGAAATTCACCCCCCAAAGTAATTTCAGAGTTTCACATAAACCAATCAATCCACTTTGCTGTGGGGTTTTTTTTTTCCTGAAACTACATGGATTGGGGGAAAAGAGGAGACTTCATTCCCTCGAGGAATAATGCATTCTTACCTTCTAGCTGCAAAGGACTAAACCAATTAGAAAATCACCTAGATTATTCCTCACTACAGCAGAACGAGTCCAAAGTCAAACTGTTTCCTTCCACAGAGTCTCTAAGTTGATCTCTGGCTGTATCTGTTATCAATTGTGGTATCTTCCTCTCTGCATGGGATGAGGGCTCATTCTATAAGAGCATAAGTAACTTCAGTGGCATCCATTCAGGAAATACCCTTACCTGACATTTGCAAAGCATCTACATAGAGTTCCACCACACATTCACGAGGCATTATTCTCTTGTGCAGTACTGCTCCACTGATGCATCTTTAATTGTTTCCTGTTACCCAGAAGGCACTGTTTTCCCTCCCAGAGGAAGGACAATAAAAGCACCTTTAAGAGTACAGGGGGGCATTATTTGGCTAAGAGATATTTTAGTTGTGGAAGAATTTGACTGAGAGAAAAATGGGAAGATCCTCCTGGAGAGGCTGAGAATCCTGCATTGTGATTAGTTGTTGCCTGCCTAACTAAACCTCAGTGAAGGGAAATCCCTTCCATCTGTGCAGTTTTTAACTGAGTTAAAGAACACAAACACCATTAGATTCAGGGGCTAGTATAGTTAGTGCAGGGCAGTTTTGCTAAAACACCAACTAGTATCACTTCTAAGGTTATTGCTCTGTTTGTTAGACTTCCAACAAGGGGATTCTATGGAAGAAAGGTAAGATGGAGGGGAAGTAGGTTATGTACCAGTACCTGGAGAACTCTGAATTTATTTACTCTGCACATCCACATTCATCTCTGTGCAGATTATGGGCAGATAGTCTGGAACCGAGAGCAGGGTCTTTGAGTTTCCCTTAAGTAGACATCTACATTTCACTGCATATGGGTTATGGTCCATGATCCTGCATTGACACGAATTGTTTTGGGGTCCATATGGCTGAGGGATTGAGTTCCAGTTAGCAGGGATTTTGTTTCTTTGTTTTACTTCAGGTTTGTAATCTCTTCAGAAGTCAATCTTGTAGTAAACCAACCTCTTTCTTTTGTTAGCTTCTCTGCTTCCTATGGTAGAAACTCCTCATGGATTTTCTTCTGTGAAGAAGATACAAGAATACAAATTGTTAAGCTGCTGGAAACACTTAGAAGATTTGACAAGTCCAAGGTGAAATAAAAAATCATCAGATGTCTAATCTTTTGAATGTGCTTGAAGGAGATTTTTGTATTGGATAAAAACACTGGAAAACTAGTTCAAATAATTAAGGCTATGATTTAGTCATGGTATTTTTATTAAAAGTCACAGACAGGTCATGGGCAGTAAACAAAAATTCATGGTCTGGGACCTGTCCATGACATATTAAAAATACCTGTGATTAAATCTGGGGGGAGGGGCCGCTGCTGGGGGTGGCACGGGGGGGGGGGTGCTGCTGGGGCGAGGGTACCAGCTGCTGGGGATCGCGGATCACGGCTGCTTCAGATGGCTGGCTGGGAACCATGGCTGCTCTGGCCGGCCACCCGGGAACCGCTGCCAGAGCCAGCAGACTGTGGCTGCTCCAGCCGGCTGCTTGGGAACAGCTGTCTGGGGCTGTGGATCGCAGCTGCTCTGGCTGTCCCAGGAAGGCTGGTGTGGATGTCCCAGGGGCTACCTGAGCACCTCGGCTCAGAGCCAGCTGCTTGGGCAGCCCTAGGGTCAGCCACACTGGCCCCTACAGAAGTCACAGAGGTTGCGGAAAGTCACGTAATCAGTGACTTCCTCGACCTCTGTGACAGACACAGAGTCCTACAAATAATTCATTTAAAATACCAAATGATGAATATAAAATGTTATTTTTTAAAGTTATAATTGTTTCTATTATAAAGAGTTCCATTGTAGACCAGTATTTGCATGGCTCGTAGCTTACAAAATAGTGTGTGTGGGAAATCTAAATAGCTTATCATAGGAAGTATATGCCCCGCATTCAAGCAGGGAATGTGTTAAAGCTTGCGGTATGAAAAGGTATGAGTACCTGTCCTGCCTTGGAGGAATTGCTAAAGTTGACTGTAACGGAGCCCTTCGCTGCTCGTTCCACAAATCAGCTGGAGACCGCTTAGAGTGCAAGCACCCGTGCTCTTTTATTTTCAGTGTCACTTCCCACCACCATCAATATACAGTCTGTTCAACACAACTCCCTGGGGGACAGCTACCTTCCTCAGCCAGCAGGGACCTACAGCCACAGGCTCCTCCCTTTCTTGTTCCCCCCTCCTGCTTCCTTCCTGCCAGCTTTATATAGCCCCTCTGGCTAATAAGGTCCGCATGTGTTTCTCATCAAGCCCTTAGGCGAGCCATACCCAGCCAGCCCCAATTAATGCCCCTTAATTGGAGTTGGGCTAACAGGGGCCTGGCCAGGACCTCCTGGCTAGCACCCTGTTACATTGACCATAAAGGAGATTTCTCTAGGTGGGTCTCATGACGACAAAGCAGCCATAGGAGGAGTGGGTGGCAGTCTACTTTGGGGATTCTTGCACCTTCCCTTCAAGCAGCTGTCACTGACCATTGCCAGACAGAAAACTGGAATAGGTGGACCCTGGTCTGATTTGGTAGGACAATTCTTTGTTATTAGGCTGGTTGGTTCCTCAGAGAAAAGTAATCTTTCATACCTGCCCAAGAAGAAAAGGGGTTAGGAAGCTTTTGGAACAAAGGACCAGACCCAAAGCCATCAAGGAAGAGCTGCTCAATTGACTACTGCCCTGCCCACAGAGGCTGTGTTAGAAGGGAGCCATGAGTTGGACTGTTGATCTGGTATTTTGGGGGACTTGCTGAAAAACACGCATCTTGATATCCTTACTTTGACTGGCTGAAGGAAGCCATACTTCTATATTACTTGGGAAACTGGCAGGAATTGGCCTTGTTCATTTACTGTTATTTTGTTCAAGGGCTAAGGGAAGCCTTACTTCAGGTATGAGTGTGGGACTTTGTTTAGAAATACACTTTCTTTACAGCCATCTGGCATAGCCTCTCTTCTGAACAACCACTTTTAAAATGTGAGGCCCTTAATAACATAGAGTTTTTAAAATGCTATTTGTAGTCTCATAACCAGGGATCCTAGATTTCTGTGATTTTAAAAAAAATCCAAATTCTCCGATTAAAACCCCCATAAAATCCGTGTTTTTGCATAATTAAAATGAAACGCTGAACTTTAGTTTCACTATCCACAATATATATGGTTATCAATTGAACACATTTTATTGATATACAGTAGAACCCTGTTTATCCAAGCCTCCGTTATCCGGGTCTCTGTATAAACCGAACCACCAGCCACCTGGAGCTGACAGTGGCTGGGGCTCCGGCTGACTGCCCCGAACTCCCCCTCCCCATCTTAAAATAAGGAACACTTAGCTCTTTGCCCTTTCTCCTGATTATCCGAGCTGGCCCCAGTCCTAATTAGATCTGATAAATGGGGTTCCGGTGTAAATTTAAAGCACGTTCAAAACTCAACCACAAGGAGTGGTTGTGTGCATTGAATAAGTGATATTGGTACTTTCAGTAAAATTTAGTTAATAGTTAATATTTTTATTTTTCACAAAATTATAAACTAGAGATTCTCTGAACATAAGAATGGCCACACTGTGTCAGGCCAAAAGTCCATCGAGCCCATTATCCTGTCTTCTGACAGTGGCCAACACCAAGTGCCTAAGAGGGAATGAACAGAACAGGGAATCATCAGCTGATCCATCCTCTGTTGCCCATTCCCAGCTTCTGGCAAACAGAGACTAGGGACACCATCCCTGCCAATTCTAGCTAATACCCATTGATGGACCAATCCTCAATTAATTTATCTAGTTCTTTTTTGAACTCTGTTATAGTCTTGGCCTTCACAACATCCTCTGGCAAGGAGTTCCAAAGGTTGACTGTGTGTCATGGGAAGAAATACTTTCTTTTGTTGGTTTTAAAACTGCTGCCTATTAATTTCATTTGGTGACCCCTAGTTCTTGTGTTATGAGAAGGAGTAAATAACACTTCTTTATTTACTCTCTCCACACCAGTCATGATTTTATAGACCTCTATCATATTCCCCCTTAGTCGTCTCTTTTCCAAGCTGAAAAGTCCCAGTCTTTTTTAATCTCTCCTCAGACGGAAGCTGTTCCATACCCCTAATCATTTTTGTTGCCCTTCTCTGAACCTTTTCAGATTCTAATATATCTTTTCTGTGATGTGGCAACCAGATCTGCGCGCACTGTTCAAGGTGTGGGTATACTATAGATTTATATAGTGGCATTATGATATTTTCTGTCTTATTATCTATCCCTTTCGTAATGATTCCCAACGTTCTGTTTACTTTTTGGACTGTCACTGCACATTGAGTGGATGTTTTCAGAGAACTATCCACAGTGGCTCCAAGAGACATTATTAAGGGCACAAGAGCAAACTATCCCACTGCGTAGGAAAGATAGGAACGATGGCAAGAGACCACCCTGGCTTAACCAGGAGATCTTCCATGATCTAAAACTCAAAAAAGAGTCCTACAAAAAGTGGAAACGCGGTCAAATTACAAAGGATGAATATAAACAAATAACACAAGTATGTAGGGACAAAATTAGAAAAGCCAAGGCACAAAACGAGATCAAACTGGTTAGGGACATAAAAGGAAACAAGAAAGCATTCTACAAATATATTAGAAGCAAGAGGAAGACCAAGGACAGAGTAGGCCTGTTACTCAATGAAGGGGGAAAGACAATAACATAAAATATGGAAATGGCAGAGGTGCTTAATGACTTCTTTGTTTTGGTTTTCATCAAGAAGGTTGGTGGCGATCGGACATTTAAAATAGTGAATGCCAGTGAAAATGAGGTAGGATCAGAGTCTAAAATAGGGAAAGAGTAAGTCACAAACTACTTAGACGAGTTAGATGTCTTCAAATCACCAGGGCCTGATGAAATGCATCCTAGAGCATCAAGGAGCTGACAGAGGAGATATCTGAGCCATTAGCAATTATGATTGAGAAGTCATGGAAGACAGGAGACATTCCAGAAGACTGGAAAAGGGCAAATATAGCGCCCATCTATAAAAAGGGAAATAAGGACAACCCGGGGAATTACAGACCAGTCAGCTTAACTTCTGTACCCAGAAAGATAATGGAGCAAATAATTAAGCAATCAGTTTGCAAACACCTAGAAGATAATAAGGTGATAAATAACAGCATGGATTTGTCAAGAACAAATCATGTCAAACCAACCTGATAGCTTTCTTTGACAGTAACAAGCCTTGTGGGTGGGGGGAAGCAGTAGATGTGGTATATCTTGACTTTAGTAAGGCTTTTGATGCTGTCTCGCATGACCTTCTCATAACCAAACTAGGGAAATACAATCTAGATGGAGCTACTATCAGGTGGGTGCATAAATGGTTGGAAAACCGTTCCCAGAGAGTAGTTATCAGTGGTTCACAGTCATGCTGGAAGGGCATAATGAGTGGGGTCCCTCAGGGATCAGTTCTGGGTCTGGTTCTGTTCAATATCTTCATCAATGATTTAGATAATGGCATAAAGAGTACACATATAAAGTTTGCGGACGATACCAAGCTGCGAGGGGTTGCAAGTGCTTTGGAGGTTAGGATTAGAATTCAAAATGATCTGGACAAACTGGAGAAATGGTCTGAAGTAAATAGGATGAAATTCAATAAGGATAAATGCAAAATACTCCACTTAGGAAGGAATAATCAGTTGCACACCTACAAAATGGGAAATGACTGCCTAGGAAAGAGTATTCCAGAAAGGGATCTGGGGGTCAAAGTGGATCACAAGCTAAATAGAGTCAACAGTATAACGCCGTTGCAAAAAAAGCAAACACATCATTCTGGGATGTATTAGCAGGAGCATTGTAAGCAAGACACGAGAAGTAATACTTCTGCTCTACTACACGCTGATTAGGCCTCAACTGGAGTATTGTGTCCAGTTCTGGGCGCCACATTTCAGGAAAGATGTGGACAAATTGGAGAAAGTCCAGAGAAGAGCAACAAAAATGATTCAAGGTCTAGAAAATATGACCTATGAGGGAAGACTGAAAAAATTTGATTTGTTTAGGGACATAACAGTTTTCAAATACATAAAAGGTTGTTACAAGGAGGAGGGAGAAAAATTGTTCTTCTTAACCTGTGAGGATAGGACAAGAAGCAATGGGCTTACATTGCAA